CCTGCCTCCCCCTGCATTCTCTTGCCTTCCCTTCCCTTGCCCTGCCTTGCCCTGCCTCCCCCTGCCTTCTCCTGCCTTCCCCTGCCTTCCCCTGCCTCCCCCTGCCTCCCCCTGGCTTCTCCTGCCTTGCCCTGCCTTCTCTTGCCTTCCCCTGCCTTGACCTGCCTCCCCCTGCCTCCCCCTGCCTTCTCCTGCCTTGCCCTGCCTTCTCCTGCCTTGCCCTGCCTTCTCTTGCCTTCCCCTGCCTTGCCCTGCCTCCCCCTGCCTCCCCCTGCCTTCTCCTGCCTTCCCCTGCCTCCCCCTACCTATTCCTGCCTTCCCCTGCCTCACCCTGCCTCACCCTGCCTCCCCCTGCCTCCCCCTGCCTTTTCCTGCCTCCCCCTGCCTCCCCCTACCTTCTCCTACCTTCTCCTGCCTTCCCCTGCCTCCCCCTACCTTCCCCTGCATCCCCCTGCCTTCCCCTGCCTTTTCCTGCCTCCCCCTGCCTTTTCCTGCCTCCCCCTGCCTCCCCCAGCCTCCCCCTGCCTCCCCCTACCTTCTCCTGCCTTCTCCTGCCTTCTCCTGCCTTTTCCTGCCTCCCCCTGCCTCCCCCTGCCCCCCCCTGCCTTTTCCTGCCTTCTGCCTTCTCCTGCCTTCCCCTGCCTTGTCCTGCCTCCCCCTGCCTTCCCCTGCCTTCCCCTGCCTTCCCCTGCCTTCCCCTGCCTCGTCCTGCCTCCCCCTGCCTCCCCCTACCTTCTCCTGCCTTTTCCTGCCTCCCCCTGCCTCCCCCTGCCTCCCCCTGCCTCCCCCTGCCTTTTCCTGCCTTCTCCTGCCTTCCCCTGCCTCCCCCTGCATCCCCCTGCATCCCCCTGCCTTTTCCTGCCTTCTCCTGCCTTCCCCTGCCTTGTCCTGCCTCCCCCTGCCTTCCCCTGCCTTCTCCTGCCTCCCCCTGCCTTCTCCTGCCTTCCCCTGCCTTCCCCTGCCTTCTCCTGCCTTCCCCTGCCTTCCCCTGCTTTCTCCTGCCTTGCCCTGCCTCCCCCTGCCTTCACCTGCCATCCCCCTGCCTTGCCCTGCCTCCCCCTGCCTTCTCCTGCCTTCCCCTGTCTTCCCCTGCCTTCCCCTGCCTTCCCCTGCCTTCCCCTGCCACATCCTCTCCCTGTCTCCCCCTGCTCTGCCGCCACCTACCCCTGTTTTCCCGTGTCACCTTCTTACCCTGCCCTCCCCTGCCTCTTCCCCTCTATCCCCCCTGCCTGTCTCCCTACCGCCACCTCCCACAGCTTTCCCATGCCGCAGCCGTCTCCCCGCGCCTTCCCATGCTTTCCCCTGCCTGTCCCTACCTTCCCCTGCCTTCCCCTGCCTTCCCCTGCCTTCCCCTGCCTTCCCCTGCCTTCCCCTGCCTTCCCCTGCCTTCTCCTGCCTTCCTCTGCCTTCCCCTGCCTTCCCCTGCCTTTCCCTGCCACGCATTACCCGCCGCTGAGTTCCCGAAGCCGCGAGGAAGCCGAAGGAGGCTCGAGCTCGTAAATCCCGAGGCTTCTCGATTTAAGGCGGACCCGAAATGCCGATAAAGCCTGGGCCAGGACGTGCCCGAGGGAGGGAAACCCCGAATCCCGATCGCTGTCGGAAACCTCCCTCTCCCTGTCCCCCAGAAGCGAAAACCCCTTCGCTCCATCTCTCACTCATTAATGGAAACCCCCTCTCAACCCATAAGCGGAACCCCTCTCCCCCTCCCCCTCTCTCTCTCTCTCTCTCTCTCTCTCTCTCTCTCTCTCTCTCTCTCTCTCTCTCTCTCTCTCTCTCTCTCTCTCTCTCTCTCTCTCTCTCTCTCTCTTTCTCTCAAGCGTAACCTTCCCCTCCCCCCCTTCCCCCCCTTCTTCTTTTCTTCTTCTCCCCCCCTCCTCTCACCCTCACAAACGGAGGTTTCCTGTCTGTAGTCTTTAAGATTTTTGTGGGTGGGGTAGGGTTTCCTCCTTTTCCATCTCCTGCGCGTCGATTGGGAGGCTTCGGAGTGGGCGTGTAGTGGTTTCGGGCGGTGGGTTTCCCTTGGTGGGTTTCGCTGCTCGTGGTGGTGGGTGGGTGCTTCGCTTTTTAGTTATTTATGCTTGTTTTTCCTTTTTTTCAAGATAACGAAGGTAACCTAAAATACTTAAATAAATAAATAAATGAAATAAACCAACCAAAACCGAAAATAATAATTATAATAACAATAATAAAAAAAGATAAACAGATGAACAATACAAAATAAAACACATTAATTTATAACGACCCCCCCCCCCCCAAAAAAAAAAAAAAACACACCTTTATCCCCTTTCAACGAAAACGAACTTCCATTCAACTAAAAAAACAAACGCCATTTCTTCGCCCAACAGGTTCCATCAGCAACATAGACGACGGGGAGTACAAATGCCGAGACGGGTCATCGCCTGAGGTCAGAAACAAGGTCATCTCAGGGGTCGTGGGCGCCGCTTCGTCTGTGACCTCCATCCAGGTGGCCAATCTCCTTAGACTTTTCAAGATCCCGCAG